TTCTATTTGCAATGTTTTCTCATATACACATTTCATCTTTCTCATCTTACATTCTCATCTTATATATTTTCTCGTATTTTTTTTTTCTTTATATAACTAACGCGTATTTTAATTTCAAACGGAAACGATCTTATATATCAGATTTATTATCTTACATAATCGTCATGATTAACGTTTATTTTTTTTCGTTTAGCATCCATCGGAAATATGATTCGAAAGACTTAATCCTCTCCTTCTCGCCACAACATTCCTTGATCTCTATCCAGATCTTTCGCGCGCATCAATTTACTGCCTCTCAGGAAAGCGGTGGCTTTCTAACGCGAAAGATTAGCGTGCGAGCTAACCGGTCCCCCTCTCCCCCCCCCCTACCGATGAACGTTTTTATTATCCTCCTCCACCGTTTCGGTATCGCGTCGCGCCAAGAGGAGAGACCCGCCGTTTCCTTTCACCCTCTCGCGCTTTCGTTGAACAAGCGTGGAAACCGTGGGCTCCCGTCCTTTGCGATATCGCGCCTCGTCGTAAATTCGCAATATCTCCGACATGCCTCGAACCCGCTCGCATCGAGCGCGCCGTTTTCGTCCACGCTTCTTTGGCACCGCCTGCGGCTTCCTCGCGTTCTTCTCTCGTCGAGTTTCAGTGAAAGTGACAGGAAAATCGCACGACGGTCGCCGCCGCCGGGGCACTAACTCCCTGAAGAAACTAGGCGAAGCGTTTTAGATCGTAGAGCCGTAAGGATGCACCGACCAACGTTGAGAAAGCGTATCGATGGATGCGCGATCGGTCGCGTCGTAAATTTTCACCGACTGCCCATTGTACGCCGATAACATCCGGACAATTTGGAAATTTTGATGCTAAATACTTGGTTCTTCTCTTGGAGAGAACTGTGTGTCTAATTTAGTAGTTACGTGTCAATTTCTTCCTTCACATCGCGATAAAATTCTTTCAATATATTACAAAGGAGTGTTAAAACAATACACTCATTTTTGTATTATTTTATAAAACGGACATCTATTTTATACACGTCGTTAATATTTTAGAAAATTGAAGAAAATGATTTATGATGATGGAATACATGCCTATATAAATGAGAAGTTATGCTCTCATTTTTGCTCTCTTTTAAGCTTTTCTAAATTTGCAAATATCTCAAATTTCAACTTTTTCTCCCAATAAAAATTTAAAGATCGCGTGAATAAAATCGATATAAAAATTTATGATATAAATAAATTCATTAAGCTGCCAAGTCGTTGATTAATAGATGTATAAGTGTTAATAATAATTTATTTTCTTTCATTTTTAAATATATTTACAAAATTGTTCACTTCTTTGTCGAGCTCATCCCACCGTATATTCCGTTTCACTCTGTTTCTTCACGTCACGTTGCATCCGGTTTTCTCCCGGTTTCTCTCTCTTTATCTCTTGTTCTCTCTTTCTCCATAACCGCTTTAATTGCGCGTCTTTCTTCTTTCACTCAATTATCCTTCTGAAATCAACGCGGTTAGTCGTACCGCACATGGAGCAGAAGTTTAAACAATGTTTCTCAAAACTAGGTGAGCCACTTTTACACCACGCTGCGATCGGATCGCGTTAAATCTTTCCGGCTATTCACCTGTGCAAATTATTCCGTCGTGGAATATATGGCAGAAGAACCTAGAATAAAACCGTGGAACTTATTGTCAGAAGTAACGCGGTGAAATATAGAGCGGGCGATAATAACGGAATAAGTAAGAAGGTGAGTCATTTTTACAGTATGCGACTGGGAAAACTGTCGAGATTTTTGCGACGATCCGTCTGCTAAAATTATTCCACCACGGATCTTTACGGCTATTCGTCTCCATCGTGAATAAAAGGGATTGTAGAGAGAGCTATATAAAACATGTTGGCAAACAATGTAATTATCGTTACTCGTATCGACGTGAAAAGTTTGTAGTAAAGAGCAACCTCGTTTACATACTATTATTAAAAAAACTTTTTTTAAATTTATTTTTATTTTTTAATACATGTTTCACGTTAAATTACAAATTTCATATTTAAAATTTAAAAAATAAAAGATGCTATTTTATGTAAAAATTGTTCTCGATTCTTGTTCCACATGAATCTTGTAAAGAATATGCAGATTCTCTAGTATACGTGTAACTATTGAAATATGTTTCCGAATTAATTAAACGTTTCTCATCTTGCTTTTAAAATTATTTTTATTAACTGTATCGACAATGGGTGCCAGAAAACGTGACGTTTCCGAATTAATTAAATGTTTCTCATCTTACTTTTAAAGGTATTTTTATTAACTATATCGATAATATCACGATAAAAAGGCTCTAATCGCGAAAACATAGAGATTCTATTATTATCGGCTTTAACGTTTGCAAATTTTTCTTTGTCGAATTTAAAAAGATATGAGTCGCGCACGTAATTGCGATGAACGATGGATTAGATAAAGGAACAAAGAAGAGCAAGCAAAATCAACGCACAAAGATCGATTATCGTCATTTCTTTCCGTTATCGCGAATTATCAGCGAGTCTTTGCACTCGACTCGTCGGGTAACCCAATTTCAATGATATCAACGTACGCATATATACCTGTTACGCGACTCGCGTGTTATGTGCCGTGCGACACGCACGCATAAACTCAGTGTAACGGGCATAAGGCAATCCGAAACGTTTCGATTTCACGATAGATTTCAAAGTTTCTCCAGGTTTTGCACAACGGTGTAAAACATTAACACGCTATAATTGCTATCTTGAAAATGAAGCGAGCGAAAAATATCTGTACTCCCAAAATGTAACTTTAATGCCGAACAAGGACTGTCCGAAAAAAAATTTAATTCTTTATTTTAAACTAATTAATTTTTTATTTTGGAAATATTCGAATTTTTGGAAAAGAAACAAGGAGTTTGGATTCGATCCGCAAAATTATGTTAAGAAAATGGTAAAAATTTTGAGAAATTTGCAGTTGATCCTACAATACCTAAGTCAAAAGTTTGAGGAAGAAAACAAGCTCAGTCGCTCACTGAAAATTTGACGAGCTCCCGAAATCGTGATAATAATGTACAAAGAATGCTTTCAGAATTTCGAGCGTTCGCGGAGCTTCGATATCAATCTGCGAACGGTATTCGCCAGCGCGATTTCTCGCAATAATCGATCGCACAGGTGGAATAGCACGCGCGTAGAATGGTCTACAAGTACGTACATATAGAGATCGACCGAAGTAAGAGTACGTCAGATGCGTTCGCGTACATTTACAATCGTGCGTTACCTGCAAGCGTTCGCAGGTGCGTCTACATCGAGGGCCCTCGAAGGATAGCCGGAGAAACGGCAGATGGTACAAGCGTGTCGACCAATGTGGTATATAAAAGGGGTGACGAAGGGCGAAGGGAGGTCGGGGAGAGACGGAGTTTGGGAGACGAAGAGTTGGCTCGGGAGAAAACATGGACGAGAAAAAGTGTATGTTAAAAATATACTCTCTATTTATACAATAAAAGATACGATACAAAGACAGACTAGTCCGGCATAATTTTATAATACTCTGTTTTTCTGTCTCTCTCTTTCTCTCTTTCTTTTCTTCAATTTATTAATTAATCGTTGTTGTGTATTCTATAGGCGATCCGCGGGTCGATTTAAGAGAGCTGAAAGATGAGAGTGATACCAGAGTGATACATGAAGAGTTGGAAAGTGTTGAAAATGGAAAGATCGGAATAGAGAATTGGCAGTTAGAAAGTCGAAAGCTACTAATTGAATATTTACGCATTTATGTATAAGATTATACTTGAGATAATCGTAATAAATTAGATAATCGAGAGCACCTTGGAAAGAGATAGATTTTCGCAATTTTTCCACGAGATTCGCGCCTAAATAACAATAGAATCCTGGTACTGAGTCAGAGAACGCCGAAGATACTAGGAGTGAAGTGTCGCGAAGAATTTTCCAGCGGTTCTTGGAGCGCGCGAGTGAACGGATGAAAGGCAACGACGAGCGTCGAAATGAGCGCAAGCGACAAGAGGAGAGCCAAAGAGCGAGGGGAAGGAAGAGAGAGGGAGAGAGAGAGAGAGAGAGAGAAGGCAGCAAAACGCGAGGCAAGCGCGAGCTTAAAGTTTCCCCGTTATCGGTGCACGTCTAAGCAACTGATAAAAGCCCGTGTTCCTACGGACAGATAACGAGCGGAATGGCCCGGTATAAAGAGTTACATAGATAGAGGCAGATAAAGCACGGTCCACGGAACAGGTGAATGTCGCGACGGGGCAGACCAACGCCCGAAACGCTCGTCGGTCTTCGCGTTGTGCGCCGATTCAATTCGATTCGCAATTCGCTCTCGATCTCGATCTCGATCGTACCGCCCGGTCGATCCCGTCCGTTATCGTCGGACTTTTCCGACGAATACGCGAAAGTGCTCCTTCGGTTTCCTGTGTCGCGCTTCCGGAAATGACGTCTCCTCGCAAGGACTCGTGAGCGACCCTTTTTCCCCCCTTCCTCTTCCTCCCTTAGGCGTACCCAGCCCCTGGCAGCGAGATCTCTTTCTCCCTCCGCTTGTTTCGTCTCTCCTCGCATCTCTCTCTCTCCGCCGCTTTTTCCTTCTCGTTCGTGTCACCCGCGCTTTGCCGCCAACACGCGGCAGAAAACCTAAACCTATCTACCTACCTACTCTCGGCGTCTTTTTCATACGCGTTTGGATATCGTTCCCCGTCCGGTACGTAAAACCTCTTGGAGATATCTTCTCCCGGCGGTCGTCGCGGAAAAAGAAACCCAATATTTCATGGAGACAGATCGTTATTGGGGCGTGCACTACAGGTACTATCCCGCTCTCTACGAGTCGATCTCTCGTGGTAGGGGAAAGGATACGACGGGGATGACTATCGCGGATAAGGGATAACGGGAAGGGGGATTCTCTTCGTCTCTTAGGGTCGTCGTCGTCGTCGTCGACGATGACTCTTGGATGAATCCGCCGACACGGAGAGAAAGCGACTTTGGAAAAACACTCGATCGATCTTTCCCTGTCTCTGTTGCAGCGGCGGCATGGCCGGGCAGCACTACTGCCTGCGCTGGGACAACTACCAGTCGAACATGACGTCCGTGTTTCACCAGCTCCTGCAGACCGAAGCCTTCGTCGACGTCACCCTGGCATGCAACGAGGCCTCGTTAAAAGCGCATAAGGTAGGCATGTAAGGTGTTGCACGTGAGTGCGGGGAGAAGGAAGGAGAGAGAGAGAGCGATCGTGCGCGGAATCGAACGTCAGCCCTCGATCTAGAGTCGCAACGAGGAATTGTAACGAATTTTAGTCAATTCTCGATAAATATAAAATTAGGAAAATTATTGCATTCTATTTTAGAAAGGAAAGAGGCAGAGAAAATTTAATTTAATATCAGAGTTTAAACTGAAATTGAGAAAATGTGCAGCAGTTTATAATTACATTCAAAATGTATGATGTAAAATTAGCAAAATAAAAAGTTGAAGACTGCCTTTTGCATATACGAATAATGTCACGGAAGAGATTTATTCGCATAATTGGTATCGAATTATCATGCATTTATTTTTTATTCTCTCTCATTTTTATATCTATTGTAGTCTAATTGCGATTCTGCAATTCTAGATTATTCAATATTACGAGACATGTAACGGATGTTTATGTCCTGCATTTTGATTGCAGTGGAAACATATTAATTCGCTTACTAACGTAGACGCTTGCGATACTTTAATAATGTAGAAAATATTTACATCAAATAATTCTTATAGACTCATGGATATTTCTTGATTAAATTCTCTAGTCGAAGTATATCGATACTTTGGCTCTGACTGAGGAAGTTATCCGAAAGAATATTTTATCATTATAAATCAATATATTTGAGACGAAAAATAAAAATTAAATAATTGTACAAAGATTTAGGACGCATGGTTTTTTTTACGCGACACTTGATAAATTCGCGCGTTGAGATTAATTGTGACTTTTAATCGGAGATTATCTCTCTCTTTACATCATCTCTATATTACGATTCATTTTTCTCTGTGTGCGCAGGTGGTGCTGTCGGCCTGTAGTTCCTACTTTCAAAAACTCCTTCTGTCGAATCCCTGCAAACACCCGACCATCATCATGCCGAAGGACGTGTGCTTCAACGACCTCAAGTTCATCATCGAGTTCGTCTACCGCGGGGAGATCGACGTCTCACAAGCGGAGCTTCAGGTGAGCGCGCGAGAATAAGGTCGATCTTTCGCCGCGATCGCGCCGATCGTCGCGGCCAGCGACGTCGCGAGCAACGATTTCTCCCACAAAGTTCCCAAGTAGCCCAATAATCGAATAATCGAGATGAGAATTTGATTTTAGCGACGTCTGCGACAAAAGGCGTGAATGAAGCCTGTGCTGTAGAGTCATAAAATTATATAAATATAATTCTCTCCTCTGTTTTCAAGTCATAAAATGACACATTGGGTCTCCAAATGATATACACTGCTATTATGTCAATTATTAGCACGACGATGTTGACATTTTTGTTCATTTATGATAATTATAATAAATATTTATAAAGATTATAAATATTTATAAATATTTATGATAAAAATTTTATAAAGTGTTATATATAAGACATAAAATTCATTTTCAAGAGAACATAAAATACAAGTGGAAACTTGGAGAACAGTTCGTCGATCGATGACACTCTGTGCAACATCGGCATATTTCGAATTAAATATTTGTTTTTCAGTGCAACATTTTGGTCATTATTTGTAAGCATTTAAAGATATCGGCACAGTATTGCAATCCGAATCGCGATGACTCCTTTGAAATTTGGGTGGTTCATATTCTTAAAAAAATCTTCCTGAGTAATAAAGGTCCCGAATCGTCCGAATCTTGCCTGCGTCACGGTATTAAATAACGATGAGCGCGATCGCTTCGTTTTATCTTATCGCTTACGAGCTATTACGACGTACTATGAGTTATACGTTGTATTATTGCAAGATCTTTCGTCAAATTGATAGCGGTTTTGTTCCAAAAGAATGCAAACTCTAGTATCTATCATTCGTCTGCCTATTTCGCGAATAATCTGATAATATACAAGTGTTTTACGAATCGATCTGAAGTCATGTTTTCGGAAATATATTTTATATCGCTCAGTTCTATTTTAAAATTTTATTAAAGTATGCTATTGTCTTATACTATCTTTGCAAGGTAATATTAGCGAAAAAAGAAATTATTAATTGTGTTGATCATTTTTTAAACATTTTGCGAATAATTTAAAATTGTCTTAAAAGAGATAGGGTACAAATAATAACATGAATATAATAATGACACATTACGTGATTATTTACAAGTAATAATTTAGATATCAGGCACAGCCTTATCTACTGAGAAAAATAAAATAATCTTATGCTTTTTGTTAAGCAACTTAGCTTAAACAAAGGTACTCACAACGGAGATATGAAAATAACACAAATAAAATATTCTTTAGATATAATATATTCTTTATATATTCTTTAAATATATTCTTCCAGATATATAAGAAGTATAAGATTACAGAAAATATATCTATTTAACATATGTATTAATATTCAATATATATTTAGCAATTCAACTCTGCAATATATATTAGTGACTCAATTTGTCAAAGAATAACTTGGAGAGGGAGGGAGAAAGTACATTGAAACTGCACTGATCTTTTCGATAAATCATCGTCTAAATGCGTTTTATGATATTCGCGAGGTGAAACACGTTCCAGGTGCTTTAGCATGTTCGAAATGGCAAGAAAGTACGATGAGAATACTTTCTCGTCAGAAGAGAAGAGTCTCTCGGATATTTTTTTCTCGAAAGAGTGCTCTATTGCCATCTGACACGATACGTAACTCCAAGAAATTTTCTAAAAGGCCCAATTCAATTTCGAGCGTGAATTGTTCAAGTACATAATTTTAGCATAATAATAAAGATCATTTTATTCTTTAGACAAAATTACAGCGATCTTTTGAACTGCATTATGCATGACATTTGCGCGCTGTTAGACAATATTTTTTATGATTCATTGTCAGATAAATTTACAAGATCTAATCTTTTTTCATCATCCATCTCCTGTACAAAATACCATGAACATTACCGACCGCAGAAACACTCAGCCATTCACTTTCCAGCGTTTACCAAGAAAGTTCCTTCGAACAAGGACATTCTCTTCCCGACAGTTCGAAATCGCAAAAAGCATCAACGAAGCTCGTCGATGCGGAAGCGCGCTACTTTACCGGCTTTTGCTCGACGCGTTCGCTTCTCGTCGGCAGTCGCGAGACAAAGAGATTCCCTTTCTTACCCTCCGTTCCTCTGTTGTACCGACCGAGCGGAGACGCGCGCCATTAATTCGCCTCGTCGCCGCCGCGAGCGTTGCACGCGCTTGCGCGCGTTCGAAATGCCCGCTTTGACGTTTCGCCGGCCGGCCGGCACGCGCGGTTCGCTTTTTCGCGGAGTCTCGTGATATCGCGCCCTTCGTGTCCGTCCGTTCGTTCCTCGGCTTTTTATCGCGTCGCAACGTGTGTTACTTCGGAAACTTTTCCTCCTCGTGCATCTTGGCCGCGCGTGTGTGTACCCATGTGAATGTGCGAGTGTGCGTACGGGGGGCTGAAGTGTTCCAGATTTCCGCACTCAAGGGACTCAGATAAATCGCGCCAAACGGATAAGATAAGAAGCGCGCCGAGAGAAGCGCCGGTCTTTCAGGATGTCTCGTCTGCGATAAGGTATGGCACGCAGCTGCATCCTTTCACTGTTTTTTTTTCTTCCCTTTACTTCTTCCTTCAAAGATTCAATTCGCCGATGTTTCTAACGATAAATCACGCGTACAATAAATTCTGCCACTTCTCATAGTAAATATGATACGTACATGTATAATGTGTATCAAAAGTTTTCGTTGTATGTTTAACGTTAAGTGCGTTTGTTTTTAAATAACGAAAGAAACGCTCGCAGTTTATTGCTGAATAAGAACCGCGAACTATGATATTCTTTCATATCTCTACGCATGTAGATATGTAATAGATAACAGAACAAAAATATTTGATCGTAACAAGTAATTATGGTGTAAATGTTAAACTCTCTGTATGAAATTTAATGCGCAAGCGATGAACACAATTATCGCGGACTAATTACGTTGAAAATGCAAACGCTATTTGGATTCTGGAGCTTCTGTAAAAATCGTAATAACATCCCATACGGGATGTGTGCGCGATAATATTCTCTCATATTATCGTTTTCACACAATAATTTATTTTCGCACGCGATTCAGCTCGTCTCCCACTCATACAAGTAAATTAGTTATATATTATCTCTGAATTATTTGAAATAATAACGTAATATTACTGATACGATTTCATTATGATTGCACATTCTCAAAGAATGCCATTGTGAAATTTATTTTATTATATTGGATTTTATTATATTGGATATCCGAAAAAAACTTTACGCTTTTATTCCGCAAACTCATTTCTAACTCAATCAGTAAAATCAACATACGTGCCTACAAAATATAGATGTCTGATTGGACTTGAGATAAATCGCGTTTAGAACAAAATCACAAGTTATGTTTAAAGAAATTTTGTAGAAGAAAAAAATTTCGGGCAATTTTTATTTCATATAAGTTAAAAAATATATATACTTACTGTACTTCTCGCCCTGTAAAGAACATACTTAATTAAAAAATTATTTAATTATATATATATATAATGTGATTACGGGAACACAATTTTTGTCCAACTAAATAATTTAAATTAACTTATAAATTAACTCCATCCTTTCCAATTTGCGTACGTTAAAAAGTATACTCTAATTTCGTTGCATTTTTTAAATCGATTTTAATTAAATCGCACGGTCAGTTTCGACAAACTTTATTTATCAAATAACAAGATTGGTTCGAATCTCGATTCGGCCGATTCTCTTCGCTGTATTCCTCCCTTGCTTGTCGCGCGATATTGAATGAGATCTTGAAAGCGGACGCGTTTTTTTTAACGCGAGTCGCACGATTTATCGGAAATGAGAGATTATTTTCGCCGTCCTTCGCGCGGCAGAAGAGGATGCTTCGACGACTGGCTATTTAGATCGTGCGCCAGACGTCGGACGACGAACCTATCGTATATATATATTTACATATATATGTATCTATATGTGTGTATGTGTGTGTTTTGAGTGCGGGCCAAAATTAAATCTTTCTCGCCGACGAAAGCGACCCCGGCGTAACCATCGTCGTTAACCGTCAAGTATGAACGTCGTTGTCGAGTTCGGCGTCACCCTTAGATCGCTGCGCGAGCCTTGATTAAAAAATAAATCGAGACATTCTCGACGAAGACGACTGTACCAGCCAACGTGTAAAATTGATCAACTTTACCTTCCTCGAGACAACGTGTCGTGGTCTTATTAAATACTAATTAGACTTATCGATAAGGATGAGAAACTTTTCAAACTCTGGAGAAGTTTATACCCTCGAAATTCTTCAAAGTTTTCCATCTCTGATTTATCCAGTTTACAATATTAAAAAAAAAGATGAGAGAGAGAGAGAGGGCGAGATAAACGTCAGATCTCTCGAAACGATTTACGCTTGACGGTACATTATAAACGAGAGCAATCTTTCTCGCGGATGAAAATTTGAGATCGAAGGAACAACCCATTTCACTTTTTTACGCCCGCGATTGTTTGTCGCTCGCGCGGCGATCTCTCCTTCTCCCCCCCCCCCTCTCTCTCTCTCTCTCTCTTTTTTCATTCTCGAACCCGCGGACCTGTGCCACTGTTTGAACCGGGTGATTGAATATTTGCTATCCCGCTGTCCCGCTCTTTCGGATATCTGCGCGCGTGCGAAAACACCGCCGCCGCCAACCGGCGAGAGTCGTCGCGCGGTTGCGAAGGATGGCTCCGGCCTCTCGTCATTTTGCCGGGATTTTTTTTTTCCTTTTTTTCCCTGCCTCCCTTTTCGCCCCGCTCCGTCAAGCGGGACGTGCCGGCACGCAACGATGCTCGCGCCCGTGATTGGTGCTCCTCGTCGAGGTGCTTACTCGACCCGAAGCCGCGTATCTTGCTCCCAGGATTCGCTCCCGGCGCAATTTCGGCCTGCCCGCCAGCCAGCGACACGAACCGATCGCGTCTACGGGGTGTCCCGAACGCGACGGAATTTCAGGTATTTTAATTCTGAAACGCGCGCGAAATAACTCGGACGTCTCATCTCGTTTTATCGA